CGCAACCCGTCCAAACCACGATAATCGATAAACTGAACCCATTTAAGTTGCAGGCTCAACACGCCGCTTACAAAATTCTTGAGATATGCCCATTACTTGTACTTTCAAACGAATCTAGACTAAGACTTGTGTTTTCACCGTTTCAGACCTTATATTCTATATCAATTCCATCGTTAGTTGTTGCATAATCAACATTTTTGTCATTCTTAGGTTGGGGGGTCCAATCCTTAATGTCTTTGCCTTGAAAAGTAGCAAAATATTGAAAAAATATACAGAACGACACAAGTGTCGTTTAACGGCACAAGTGCCGTTCTGCCACTAAAATCGATTTTGAATAGCCGCGACCCGTCCGAACCACGATAATCAATAAACTGAACCCATTTGAGTTGCAGGCTCAACACGCCGCTTACAAAATTATTTAGATATGCCCATTACTTGTACTTTCAAACGAATCTAGATTAAGACTTGTGTTTTCACCGTTTCATACCTTATATTCTTTGGCCATGTTTGTTTGCCATTGATTTAACCTAAATATGCATTTTTTTTACCCTTTTTTTCAATAATAATCTAAAATAGTCAAATATTGGGGCCCACTATGAGAGAAAACAGTCAAATATTGCGGCTCCATTTAAACAGCAATGGTCAGAATTTTAATTTTTAGTGGAAACAAACGGGGGCTATATCAATTTCACCGTTAGTTGTCACACAATCAACATTTTCGTCCTTCTTAGGTTTGGGGGTCCAATCCTTGATGTCCTTGCCTTGAAAAGTAGCAAAATATTGGAAAAATCAACAGAACGACACAAGTGTCGTTCCAATACACAAGTGTCGTTCTGCCAATAAATACGATTTTGAAGAGCCGCGACCCGTCCGAGCCACCATAATCTAAATATTGGAAAAATCAGCAGAACGACACAAGTGTCGTTTAACGACACATGTGTCATTCTGCCACTAAAATAGATTTTGAAGAGCTGAGACCCGTCCAAACCACGATAATCGATAAATTGAATCCATTTAAGTTACAGGCTCAACAGTCACTTACAAAATTCTTGAGATATGCCCATTACTTGTACTTTCAAACGAATCTAGACAAAAACTTGTGTTTTCACCGTTTTATACCTTATATTCTATATCAATTCCACCGTTAATTGGTACACAATCAACATTTTCATGCTTCTTAGGTTGTGGGGTCCAATCCTTGATGTCCTTGTCTTGAAAAGTAGCAAAATATTAAAAAAATCAACGACACTCACTAAAATCGATTTTGAAAAGCCGTACCCGTCCAAACCACGATAACCGATAAACTGAATCTATTTAAGTTGTAGGCTCAACACACCGCTTACAAAATTCTGGATTTATGTTCATAACTTAATCAAGAGGAAAAAAACGACACAACTGTCGTTTCGATTTTGAAAACTGCTCAAGTGTCGTTCTGCCTCTAAACACGATTATGAAGAGGCGCGACCCGTTCGAGCCACGATAATGATAAGCTGAACTCATTTATGTTGTAGTCTGAACACGACGCTTACAACGTTCGGGATTTATACTCATTATTTAATCAAGAGGAAAAAATAAAACGACACAACTGTCGATAC